ATACTCAGATCAGTGCTATGGTTTTTACAAAAACCAAACTGTTCTGAAATAAGAACATTATATTTCAGTAAATAATCATAAACAATTTTTAACAACTTTAGGTGAAATGCAGTCAGGTCCACTTGACTTATCTATTTTTAACAAAGAAGACAGTTTGATTATTTCATGAATACTTGTTGATTTAACATAAAATGAATTTAAATTTGGGTTAACATGGTATTTATCATAAGAGTAATTAGGTGTTTGAATCGATTTTGATAGTTGTTTACCTATGTCAATAAAAAATGTATTAAACTCTTTTGCAATATCTTTCCTACTACTCATTTTTATATTTCCGTAATACATTTTTTGAGGTAGTTTATTCTGTTTCTTTTTACCAAGTATCATATTGATCTGCGACCATGTTTTTTCATATCATTCTTTAAGTTATAAAACAAAGACTCGTAATATTTCCTCTTTGACGCTCTTATGATATTTGTTAATTTATTTTTTAATCTAAATATTTTCTTTTATGATTGACACTAGGTCTTTTTAAGCTATTTTCATATAATCTATAGTTTACGTTTCACTGAATTCAATATTACTTGCGTAATCCAAGGTTTCCGTAAATTACCATTGAGTTGTTTGACTAATTGAATAGGAAAACAGTTATTATAATTGGAATAGAATTGTGTAAAGAAGATATCATAAGAGTCGTTTGCACTTTTACAATATATGGACTTTTGACCAGTCAATGGATGATAAACTTTCTTTAAACATTGACATTGATGAATCATTAATAATGCGTCTTTGTATGTATTTGTTACCATTCTTTACAATTCTTTCACTTGCAATTAAAAATACTGGAAAATGATCAGATAGATCACTATAAATGAGGCCTGTATATTTTTCTTCCTGTATGGTATTTGTAAATATGTTATCTATCAAGGATGCTTTATTTTCAGTAATGCGAGTTGGCTTTGTTATTAAGGGAAGTAAATTAAAAGAAAGCATCATATCTAAAAAGTCATTTGTTTTATTATGGATACCATAATTAAGCAAGTTTACGTTAAAGTCCCCTAAAATATATAAGTCTTTCTTCTCACTTTCCAGTATTTCAAGATCACTTTGTATTTTCTCATTAATACAAGATATGTCAGAATCTGGTGGACGATAAACGCAACCAACAACTATAGGTTTAGGTTTCTTACTGATTTCAACAAATATAGTTTCATAATTGCATTCAGAATAAGTAAATTCGGGTAGTAATTTGTAATTGAGATTATTTTTCAAATAAAGTGCAACTCCGCCACCAGATTTTGAGGGTCTACACTTAGAAACAAGAAAATATCCGTCTAGGTTATACATATTAATATTTGTAGAAGAATTGAACCAAGTTTCAGTTATGGCAATGACATCAAATTCAAATTGAAGAGATGACAGAACAATCTGTAATTCATCAAAATGTTTCTTTAGGCTTCTAGCATTCAAATGGAAAAGTGACAGTTTAGAATTCAATTTACTAAATTTTAGACTAAATTCTTCACAAAATGTGTATTGACAGGCATTTTAAAGTTCAAGATCTAAATCAAAAATGCTATGCACATCATATTTATTCATAAAAAATGGGTTTAATTTCAATTGTAATAACTTGTCAATATCAATTCTTCTATTTAAATGGAAAAAGTCGTACATAGTCCAATAAAATTCATTATCATCATCTATAATAATAATAATAATAATATAATACATGAGATTTATATAGCGCCATTATCCATTTTAATCAAATGCTCAAGGCGCTTCAAAATATTAGGGAACACATTACATCATGACAAAGAATCGTGTACATTTACATAAGAAAGAAAATGCAAAAATGAAAGAATGAATGTCTGTCTTCAAAACGCAAAATTAAACAAATGGGATTTAAGGTTGCTCTTAAAAGATGTTGAAGAGTCAGAGTTCTTCAGCTCCTGTGGAAGTGAATTCCACAGGGCTGGTCCGGCATGAGCAAAAGCTCGTTCCCCCCAAGATTTCTTTGAAAGTGGTATGTGTAGAAGACCAGGTTGACATCGTTTTCTAGCTTGAGTATATTTCCCTCAGCCTTCTCCAGCTTGTCCCGAAGCTCCGTCATCTGATTCATGATTGCATCAGTTAGCGATGCCTGGAACAGGTCCCGAAACTCGAGACTTCTGAAGTAGTCCTTAACTTCCTCGCCGATCTGGTCACAATGATCAGTAGGGTATACATCAGAAGAAGCAGCAGCCATGATTCTCTCAGATTTCTTCCCTTTAGGTGGCATGGCTCTTGATACTTCAGCTTATGGAATAAAGCTAGAAGTCGATGGACGGGACACTTACTTTCAATAGGGTTATTCAACCCAAGCACCTTAGCTTGAATAGAGCTCAGAGTCTTTGGTGTCTGTATAAGCTGATATCAATTGGTGATTAGTCACAAAATAAGCTCTCAAAAGGTTGTTAAAGAAGATTTTCCAGGCGCATATATTGTACTGGTTGGCAGATAAGCAAACTTAACAACCATACAAGTGAATATATGGGACCAGTTGTGAAGATAGGAGTCCAATACCAAGTTGAGTCCTCCAGGAGAAACAGTTAATTTTACAGTAAATGCTACAATTACTGCATGTTTTTTGCCCTATAAATTAATCCACAAGGCTAGGTACACATGTCCATCAGCATTAAAAAGTTCATAATGCTCAAAAAGTCACAAAAACGCATCAAATTACTTGCCATACAAGATCAGTAAGGTCTCCTCAGCTGTAGATGTACATAGTCTGAATTTAAAGCATATTTCTTAATTACTGATGATTTAGTAATATGCACTTCATTTCAAAAGTACTACAAAATATAAATTGCCAATTATTAGGACATTTTACTACTTTGTATAAATTACATTTAATTAAACATGAATTAGGGAAATATTAACTATGACTAAAATATATTCAATAAAATACAAGTATGTGGAAAGTTGTGGGACACATTAACAATCCTACTTATTACCAATGCCTTTACATTGGAAATTGTAGATAAACCAGTGATGCTGTGTTATTTGTTGCCACTTGCAAAATTAATTAGTACAATTGCTACTTATAGCGTAAAGTACTAATTAATTATATCTTATGGTATTGATGCCACAATTTACCAGACTACGTGGTGCGTACCACAGTGTGGTAACGCTGTGGTATACTATGTGGTTGATACCACAGTGTGGGCCACATGTGATTTTGGGACATGTGGTAACGCTGTGGTGTACTATGTGGTTGGTACCACAGTGTGGGCCACATGTGATTTTGGAAAATGTGGTAACGCTGTGGTGTACTATGTGGTTGATACCACAGTGTGGGCCACATGTGATTTTGGAAAATGTGGTAACGCTGTGGTGTACTATGTGGTTGATACCGCAGTTTGGGCCACATGTGATTTTGGGACATGTGGTAACGCTGTGGTGTACTATATGGTTGGTACCACAGTGTGGGCCACATGTGATTTTGGGACATGTGGTAACACTGTTGTGTACTATGTGGTTGGTACCACAGTGTGGGCCACATGTGGTATTTGGAGAGGGAGCTATACACCATAAAGAGTTTATTATTTACTATTTCATCACTTTAGACTCGATTTCAACCGCGACAACGATCAATAAATATTGTAGGATCGCATATGCTTCCAATATGTTCATTTAAACCAAATTCATGATCCCACACCAAAACTTTGTATTACCTTTAATTAACTCGCAAAACAATTACCAGTCTTTATTTATCACTAATCTTGCCACACATTGATTATTGATGGTTTGCTGTTATACAACCTGTATAACAAACTCTCACTTTCAGCTATGCACATCATTACAGCTTTTCGAAAATGAATGTGTTTCTTTGCATTTACTGTGACTCTTAAACCTTTTTGTAAACTTTCAAAAGTGCATTTTTTAAAAATATTATAGGCCTACTCTATTCTATTCCTCCTGTAACTTTTTTTAGTATTTCTATTTAATTTATTTTGTTTTTGTTTTTGTTTTAGGCGTGGTTTTGTTATTGTAATAATTATTTTTTTTTTTTTAAATAATTGATAATAAATATTGTTTAATTCAAATAGTGTTATTTTTAAAAGATACATGTTTGATTCGATATTTCATATGTATTTATTTTTTTTTAATTATTGCATTATTATACTAAAGTTTTTATACTGTTATTGTATTATGCAGGGCTTTATTGAAAAGCAGGTCCAACTGACTTCCAGTGGAACTGATTGAACCTACCCTGTTGAAAGAAATCATGAATAAATACATGGGATGATGCCCGCGTTGTCGAGTTGGTCAAGACTGGTAGAATAAACATTTTGATAAAAAGGATCGATCCTTCACTGAATAGGGAAACTTGCTATACATTGTTTCATTCGCTCCAGCTATCCCGAGGCAGCAAACAGCAAGAAATTGTGTAAATAATGCACAAAAGTCCACGGGAGAGGTTCATGGAAGCTTAAAGTAAATAACGCTTACACTCCCTCCCTATTTTATACAACAAAGAGTTGTCTTGGGAACCACTTCTATCTTTACGGATGGGGTGCCAATCCTTAGCTGGGAGTCTAAGGGGCGGAATCCCAGGAAGTTCCTGAATTTACGAAGAAAAGTCACATAGCCCCTTTCATTTATGTTTAGAAATGACTTCTCTTTCTCTATTAAAGACAAAATTATAGAACTTATTTGTTCAGAAGGTTGTAGCGTTTACGCGCGATTGCAGTGTACTTCGCACTTGCTTTGGCTTAGACCCCCCCCCCCCCCTCCTCCTCCTCCTCATGATCCTGGACCCGCCGCTGATAAATGTGTTTTTACCCCTTTCCTCGATTCAATTGATGCTCTGCCACGCTCCGCGGCAGAACACCCCAAAAGAAAGATGCTAACAAAATCAATATTTGTTCTGCTTCGGCTTCGCGGCAAAATGTGGACAAGGATGCCGGGGGGGGGGGGGGGGTGCTCGAGCCCGTTCCGCGGAACCTGGGACAATAGCGTTGGGTATCGTGTTGACAGGAAAAGTTTCAAGGCTGATGTTACGTATAAAACGCCAACTATGTTCCCTTGATCTCAGTCTGTTATGTATGCTGATCAATAGTGCCCGCCCAGAGTGAAAAAGTTCGGTTGCTTCGACTTTCAGTGTCCACTTCTCAAACTTCGTAAGTTTTTAAAGATTACATTTATTAAATTATCAATTTGATGCGCTTTCAGATTATTACAGACTTCGTACAGTAAGTGATTAACGTTTGTAATAGAATTACAAAGTATTTATATCATTAGGCCTATATCATGATTTAGATTTGTATAGACTTTGTAATTTTTTTCAAAGCTTGTGAATGAGTTATTAATTAGCTAGATTAATGTACAATATTAAAGGGGAAGTCCACCCTGAAATTAAGTTAGTTTTAATAGGAGTAGAAAAATGAGAGAAACAAGTCAGTGAAAGTTTGAGCAAATTCCGATTAAAAATAAGGAAGTTAGGATTTTTGAAGTTGTGATCAATCAAACACAAATTGGCAACTCTATGACGTATCATGCGAGCTCAACTTCCATTTGCTCAGTACTAAAAAAATCTAAAATTTTTATTTTCCCTCAAGAAAAATTTCAACCATACATGCACCCTAAATATAATAATTGCAAATATGTTTCTATACTCCCCCTGCAAGGAACAAATATATATTCCGTCATCAATAACGAAGAAAACATGATTTTATGGAATATTATGCACAAAGCAAATGAAGGAGAGCTCGTATAATAAGTCACAGAGTTGCCAATTTGTATTTGATTGATCACAACTTCAATAATTCATAACTTTCTTATTTTCATTCAGAATTTGCTCAAACTTTCACTCACCTGATTTTCTTATTATTCTGCCTCTATCGAAACAAACTTATTTTGGGGGTGGACTTTCCCTTTAAATTGGATCATTATAATATACAGATGAAAAGAGGATTTTCATTATAAATCGTACTCTGAGATTTAATTTAAATCATTGTATAATGGAAATGAAAATTCTCACTAAAGCCCTTTCACACCGGGCCATGCGTAGAAATGCGCAGTGTTGCGTACCGACTACGCCGAGCGTACGCTGACCCACGCTGGCCTACGTGTTTGGGATCGGTGTCGTAAGTTATGCTAAGTTCACACCGACGCCGAATTGATGGCGCATTAAATCGGCGAGCAAAGCGGCGGCAAAGCGTAACAAAGTTTAATTAAAGCGTAAAGACCGTAATAGAGCGTGAGAAAGCTTTCAGCAATTCGGGACATTCGGCAAGAACGCCAAAACTTTTTAAACTGTTTAAAAATTTGAGGCGATCTGTCAGGGATTGCGTTAAGCGGGGAGAGCGTATTAAAGCTTATCAAAGCGTCACAAAGTTTATCAAAGTTTTGCTCAAAGCGTAGGAAAGCTTAACAGAGTTTAAATTTTTGGCGCTCTTGCCGAATATCCCGAATTGCTCAATAGCAATAACATATCTCAGGAGATCGTGAGATTTTTTGAAAAAAATGACGCCGAATTGATCGCCGATTTAAAGCGCGACATTCGGCGTCGGTGTGAACTAGGCATTATTGGAATATTGAGAGGTTATAACTCTAAAACGATGAGTCACATAATTCAGATTCACAAGTATATTTACAAGATAAAGAGCAGAAAAAGTATAGGTACTAGCTTGGTGATGGTCTGAACTCTTTTTCCTCCCAGAAAGCCAGAACCTCTCATAATTATACAGGAGGACACAAGGAATATGAGGGTAGGTGACATTGTGTCAAAGGGACAAAGACAAGTCAATTCTCACAGTCATCTACACTGTAAAAAAGAATTTGTTAATTGGTAATTTTTACATATTTTTTCCATGTAGAATTTACTTGAAAACATTAGTTTTGCCACTTACGCACTAAATTTAAGTCTTGCTAACTCAAACTTTCAATTCAGTAGAACATACGTGGAATATTTAAGTAAAATCAAATACATAAGAACTAATTTAGTAATTTTAACTCAAAATCAGAAATTATACGTATTACTCAAACAATTTATGTTGATTATTCTTATCTTTTTAATGTAAAGACCGATGCAGTGCGTAATGAAAATATTTACATAATTTATGAATATTCATTAAGACCAAATGAAACTCTTTTTTAAATAAAACAATTTTTTTTTGTGGTTGAATGAAAATTTAAGGACTTTAAAACATTTACTAATTCATTTAACATGGCTAAGCAAAGACAAGACAATTTGTAATTGTTACCCAGTTCAAAACAAATCAAAACTTGATATTTCAGGAAATTGTCAACCAATTTTCTTTTTAAGATGCTACGATCAAGTATAAATAAAATTTGGAGCCTTTCAGTATGTGTCGAATTGAAGCGTATGGAATAGTTTGTGATGGTGGTAGATATATATATACGGTTAAATCTTAAATAGAAGTAGTGTTAGTGATTAGTGATTAATCTTAAATAGAAGTAGTAAATGATTAGTGGATGTTACTTGTTAGATTAGATGGGTACCAAATCGTGCAATATGTAATCATATCATAGCTTTTTTTTAATTATCTAAAATGATTACAATACTTAAATTATTTACGTTAATATAACTCGATTTAACTGAGTAAAAATTTATTCAGCAAAATAAGTGAATTCTACTTAAGATGCCGTAGGTAATATTTACTTAATAAAAATAAGGCAATTCTTTTCCTCAATTTTATTGAGTTATTTCGACTATTATTTTTTTACAGTGTAGCTAACACTGTTCTGGGAAAGGGTTATCAAACAAAGGGGGCTTTGGTTATTGGGAGAAAGACAAGAAGTCTTTTGTTTTGGAGGTTTGGGAGCACTTTAAAGATGTATACAATTTGGGGTTTATTTGGCTGGAATAAGTTATTAAACAAATGTCTTGGAAGGAGGTCTGGTATTTCGCAGGGTGGGTCTTATCCGTATTGGGGCATACTGAGTGATATTAAATATTATTACTGAGGGGGTGTAGATTTGTAATACCTTTACATAACACTATACTCTGAGGGACGCAAAGGGGTACGCGAGATGGACGCGTACTTTCGGCGTAGACACTAGACGCAGAAAGAACACATTTTGTACGCAAGTCTACGCAACACTACGCAATATTAAGCTACAATACACCAAGCTTACGCAATAGTACGCTACCCTACACCAGTCCAACGAAGCAGTAAAAGCTTGCGCACACATCAAACAACCGTACGCATCCGTAATCAAACCTGTACACCAGGCCTACGTAAGCGTACGCAACCCTACGCTTTTTATATGGAAGGCCATATGTCGCACGCAAGCTTGCGTTACTGATCAGAGGGGGCCGTTAGGGCTAAATAGGGGTTGTTTGGTGCAGATTCTTCTAAAAGCACCAAATTTGGCCCAGAGGTAGATTATACCATACTTTACGATTTCTTCCGGACGCCAATAAGGGCACCCTCTGGGTATGCCATATTGGGCAAATCCAAAATGGCCGCCATCTGAGTTAAAGGTCAAGCGTAGTTCCAAAAGAAAAAGCGCTTGTATGAATATAGTTTATATATTTATGGGGTTTTGGGGGTCAGAGAATCTGAGTATGATGTTCTTTCATCGATTTGAGGTCTCCTAGGGGCTGCCATACTGGTCATATTGGTCAAATCCAAAATGGCCGCCATCTGATAGTTACACATCAAGTGTAGTTACGAAAGGAAATGGGCTAGTATGATAAAAGTTTATATATCTATGGGGTTTTCGGGGTCAGAGAATCTGATTTTGATGTTCTTTCATTGATTTGAGGTCTCCTTGGGGCTGCCTTACTGGTCATATTGGTCAAATCCAAAATGGCCGCCATCTGAGTTACAGGTCAAGTATAGTTATGAAAGGAAATGGGCTATAACCATACAAGCGCTTTTCCTTTTGGAACTACGCTTGACCTTTAACTCAGATGGCGGCCATTTTGGATTTGCCCAATATGGCAGTCCCAGAGAGCGCCCTTCTTGGCGTCCGGCAGAAATCGTAATAGTATGGTATAATCTACTTCTGGGGCAAATTTGGTGCTTTTAGAAGAATCTGCACCAAAATATCCCTAACAGCCCCTACTAATACAAGTATAATTAAACTTAATGAATGAAACGACTGGATAACCCATATTCAGCTTTACCAGCTAGCTAGGGACCACACTACAGGTCTTCCCGGCGCGGGTCCAGGGGGGAGGGGGGGGACGGGGCGAGAGGGTCTTGACCCCAAACCGCCAACAAAAAATGAAGAAAGAGAGATAGAGAGAGAGAGAGAGAGAGAGTCAGAGAGAGAAAGAAGGTAAAGCAGAGAGTAAGGGGAAGGAAGAAGAGGAAGAAGAAAAGAAAAGGGGGCGAAAGGCCTTCGCCACCCCCTCCCCCCTCCCATCAGCAAAAGAGAGATAGAGAGAAAGAGAGAGAAAGAAGGAAGGAAAAATATAGGAAAAGAAAGAAGAGACAAAGGGAAAGGAAGAAGAAAAGAAAAGGGGAAAGAAGGAGATCGGGGGCCGCAGAAAGGGCTTTGCCTCCCAGGCTGTTGCCCCCCCCCCCCCCCCCAAGCAAAAAGAAAGAAAGAAGGAAGAGAAGGGAAAGAAAAAAGGGAAAAGAGGAGATAAAGGGAAAGAAAGAAAAGAAGGGGGATATCAGTTGCAGTTTTCCCGCCAACAAGTTCGGGATCGGGGGGGGGGGTTAATGGCCCTTGCCCCCCCCCCCCTTCTACAGCAAACTTAAAAGAGAAAGAAAGGAAGAGAACGGAAAGGGAAAGAAAAGACAGGTACAGGAGATCAATTGTGATTTTTCCCACCAGCGCGGTGTGGATCGGGGGCGAAAGGCCTTCGCCTGCCCTCCCCTGGCAAACAAAAAGAGAGAGAAAGAGAGAGAGAGAGAGAAGGAAAAGAAGGGAAAGGGAAAGAAGAGAGAAGAGGAAAGGAAGAAGAAAATAAAAAGGGGAAAAGAAGGAGATCGGGGGGCCGGAAGGGCCTTGACGCCCATGCTGTTGCCCCCCCCCCCCCTTCCCCCGCAAAACAAGAGAGAAGGAAAGAAAGGGTAAGAAACAAAAGAAGAAAAGAAAAGAAGGGATATCAGTTGCAATTTTCTGCAAACAAGATGTGGATCACGGAGAAAGGCCTTTGTCTCTGTCCCCCCCCCCCCGACCACCCCACCCCCTTCCC